AAGAGGAGGAGGAGGAGGAGGAGGAGGAAACCGAAGCCACCACCATCGCCAGCACCACCAGCGAAGAGGGACTGTCCCAGGCGACCACCACGGGAGATTGGGGACCTACGGATGCCACCACAGCCGGGGAGCAGTGGGAATATGAGGTGACGGCTGGAGGCCACGGCCGGGGGGATGAGGGCATCACCGATGGCAGCTACAGGGAGCAGGACGAGTACGCCCGCGGGGACAGCTACCAGCCCTACGAGGATGAGTATGGCTACTACAAGGGGCACGGCTATGATGTGTACGGCCAGGATTACTACTACAGCCAGTGAGCAGGCGGTGGGGGTGGCTCCGGTGCTGCCCCACACCTGCTGCATCCCACTCAGGAGTGCGCATCCGAATGCTCACCGCAGCCGCCGCGTGCCAGAGGGGATGCCAGGCAGCTTGCGGTGCACGCCGGTTCCATCCCAAGCTTTTTTTTTTTTTTTTTTTGTATCCCGCAAAATGAAATGAAATAAAGCATCCGAACTGAGCTCGTTGGTGACGAGGGGTTTGCTGCCAAATTTGCTGGGCTCAACAGGGTGGCACGATGCTCGGTGGGCTACTGGTGCTTGTCCTACTCGGGGCTAAATCTCTGTATTCCAGCTCAGATGCACACAAAAGGAGGGAGGAGCAGAAAGGCTAACTAGGAAAGCCTCTGTAGAGTCTCCTCCGAAAAATGGAAGGGCATTTTTAGGGTCGCTGCTGTGGGATTACTGCCACATCTTGTGCAGAGTTGATGTGAATTTGCAATATCTGGGTGACGATGACTTTACCACATCTTTCACTCCTCTGTAGCGTGCTTCCCATGGCCTGCCCACGCACCAGGCAACACTAAATAAAGGTAATAGCATTAATTTCTCTTTCCGTGCATCACTAACTGCAGATGCACACCCCTGTAATGAGAGCTTTGCTTCTGCAGCCCTGCACCAGGCACGTGGGTCCCACCGAGGCCGGGTACCTCGGCCATGTGTTTTGGTCACCGGCACTGCAGCCCAAAATGGTTCCACGTCTCTCCCCGCCACGCAGCCTCATCCCCAGGGCAAGGTAGGGCTGTCACAGCAACAGCGGTGCGTCCTTCATCAGGGATGGGGATGCCCGGCTTGCGGTCCCCAGGATCCCTGCTCAGAGTCACCTCCCCATGGGAGTGCGGCTCCGGTCAACTGGGGATCAACACCTGGGGATGGGGGGGAAGGACCAAATCCCACTGGGTTCCAGGCTGGTGTCCCCATTTAGGAGAAGTGATGGCCCTCACCCATGGGTTACGGCAGGTGCTGTGCAGCCCTCACGCTCCTGGAAAGGAAACCTGTGCTCGGCTCCCAGCGTAGGTCCAACTGCAAAGCGAGTTCCTATTCTCGCAGTAGCAAGCTGCTGGCCGCTGTACAAAACCACCTCCGTGTGCCAAAGCCAGGGTGCAGCTGGTGGGGTGGCTGAGGGTGCTGCCTGCGGGCTGAGCACCCCCAGGGCCAAATCCTTCTGGCGGCACTGGGGAACCCTGCACGTGCTTGCAGCTGATGAGGGGGGGAAGGACACGAGAGCCCCATCATCCGCATCCCCAGGAGGTACCCAAAGACGTCAGGGAACCAGCACAGACAAAGGGCCCTGGCGCTGCCGGGGGCCAG